TCAACAATTTATTATAACTTTTTAGATGAAAAAAATAATTATCTTTAATAAATATAAATAAATCTCAATCGCTAAAAATAAAAAAATCAATGATTAATGTTTTCGATAAATATAATGTGTAAAATTTAATGTATAAATAAATTTCTACTTATAATGATGAGACTTAGCATGCCTTCTTTCTTTTGATGGGATTATTATCACGATTACCATGAGTTTGTGTTTGTTTGTTTGTGTTTTTTTTTTTTTTTTGGGTGATAAGGGTCAAAAGTCATGAAGGGTACGAGAGGGAAGCCATCGGGGAGAATTCAGTAATTGCAGGTAGAATGGTAGACAGTTTAACCTTAACAATAGAATAAGTGAATAGTTTATTTCATTCTTGATTCTTTAGAGTCATATTTAAAAATATTATTTTTTAATAAATAATTTGAAAGACTAATTATTGAATTAAATAATTTATTTATGTATAGTATTCATATTAATTTTTAAATTAACATAATATTTATAATTATTTGATGAAGAATATGTATTTTTTTAACATATATATATGTACACTCTTAATAGGGTTAGAAATGGAGAACAAGAAAAAAAAAATAATAATAATAAAATAAAAGACGTGAGCGGCAGGATTCGAACCTGCGCGGGCAGAGCCCACATGATTTCTAGTCATGCCCGATAACCACTCCGGCACGCCCACTGGATGCTGTAGTTGGCCCCTTAAAAGATAATATATTAAAAGATAATGTCAGACTTTTCTTCATCCCGCACCACCACGGATTGTGGTAGAGTTCTTGCCCAGGAGCTATATTCAGGCCCAATAGTAATTAGTAAGTAAGCCCAGGTTCAGATTCTCCCAGATAGCCCCCAGCCCGTTTCCCTCTATGCTTTCAGGAATCCAGGCAGCTCCCATGGGTTAAAGGGGGACTACAATACAGGTCCTCCTTGTCCCTTACACTTAAAAAATTTTAACTAGGCTTTGACAGTTTGTTATTCTTTATTAAAATAATATATATCACCATCAAAAGCTCAGCGGAGTTAGTATTCCATTAACTTAAAAATCTTAATTTAGAGTTAATGTTATATGTTCAAACCTTTATATTTCCAGAACTTTTGATGTACCAAAAATTAAAGAAATCACGTTACTCTTTGTGGGTTATGGTGCCCGAATACTTTGTGATTGTGCTTGTAATGTTATAAGCAAGTGGATTGATATGTGCTATTGTGATAACTTTCAAGACATAGTGAAGTTGTTAAAAAGAAAGCTAATATCGATCTGCAGGGTAGTAATGCAATATGGCAATTCATTTTCTATTTCTATTATATATCTTTACAGTATCAAAAAATAAGTTTGTAAAACTCAACTAGAAATTTCAGAACAAGCACCCTTAGCCTCTAATTTGTGTCGTCGAGTAGCTCTTATGTAACAAAAAAGTGCCACTAGAAAGGTAGTAGCCAGTCCCCCAAGGATCGCACCACCGCCAGCTATAGACTTGTCCAGAGAACCGTGATGCATTTCCAAATGCACTTCCTGCCCTTGTCCACTTACATTAGCAGAAGGCGCGGGACTTGCATCGCTGCTTTCTTCCACAGACTGCAGGATGGTTCCGGGTTGGGGCGCTAACAATTGTGGACTACCCGAAGTTGTGACCACTTGGTGCTGTCCAAGTTTCCTGGCCTTAGGAGCTTCGGCATTGTATGATTTTCCGTAGATGGATGGACTTGGTGCCAGTCGAGTAGTTGTATCAGCCATTGCTACACCTAAAAAACCATCAACCAAGATCAAGAAAAGAAGAAGATATGCAGCCATTTTGATGATGTGATATTGGGAGCAAGATGCCTTAGTTTTCGTTTTCGATTTGTTGTGTATGCCTTCTTTGATATATATATATATA